CAGCATGCAGGGGGTCAGACCAGATGATCATAATGGTCCCTTCTGACCTTAAAGTCTATGAGTCTATGAGAACATCATATACACAATTGTGTCTGAGTCCCCTTGGCCACAACACTGATTCAGCACTTGTGCTATTTTTCAAATGGCCTTTCCCACCCATACACTGTGGTTACAGTATCCTGGACATGATATAAAATACTTGCAAACACAAACATGCAGTGATTCTAATAGGTGTTTTGTGTAAGAAAAACCCTATAGATTGCCTATGAAAGCAAAATTAATGATACCGTACATCAATATTATGGCTTTCCTGTCTCATGGGTATAACCTTATAATCACATCCCAGTTCTGTAGCATACCCTCAGCATGGTGAATGGATGTTTAAATTGTGTATCTATGGCTGGGTGTAAAATAATCTACTATGGTGAGGCATGGTAAATCACCTGTAAATTGTAGTTAATTAGATGTGACTTTGCCTTGCAAGACATATTACATGTGTTAGCAGTTACACCCAAATACCTAGCTTAAAAGTATCCAGAAACTACGTCAGGTCTTGAGCTGCATTATATTGCACAATGCATAAGATAAAAATGAAACAAATATCATCACCCTTACACATGCTACTCATGTCCCTTGACATCTTAGGCAGCATGTAAATATACAGCAGCAATAAACCACAGCAGGGTGTGGTTTGGAGGGATACTGATGCATATCTCAGGTGCACCCATAGCTTTCTCATGACGCTGTTAGCATAAATTATTCCTATTAGTGTACGGCTCCTTCATTTTCAATTTAATATTTTTAAACATTTTTAAATGAATCTTCAGAGGAATTTGTGCAGTGTGCCTTTCTACTGGGGAAAGTATATTGCAGTAGAACTAACTGAGTGCATTGTCCATTTCTACTCATTCACACTTGTGTGAAAGTTCCACTGGCATGACCTGAGTAAGAACTTTAGGATGTGGCCCATTATTATTTATATAGTGCCACAGGTGTGCATAGCACTTTAGAGAGGGAAAAGAAGAGAAGAAATGAGGATTCAATCAGTTAAACTCCCATACATTATTATCATGCATTGGCCAAAGGACTTCACCTGTGCTTTGAGCTCTTTGAAAAAACACTAGGCTCCTTGAATCGATTAAGCAACATCAGCTGTGAAACCTTGTGACATCTGATCGGTTATCAAAGAATACTGCAGTTCATCTCCCACCACTGTCCTACTACCAAGGTCCTTTGTATTCCACAGCAAATAGGACCTAAATTTTGCTGCAAAGTCCCTAGATTATTTGGCGCTTCTCTGCTGTGGACTGAAAACTGAGCAGCAGCTTCATGTGGATACTAAACACTGATGTTTTTAAATGATAACCGCAGCTTTCACCCTGTGTTTATTTTAAACAGAATTTATCTTCTGCTTTCCGTTTTCAATTTTCAGTACACCAAAGATTATTTTTAATGGACAATACATGATAGCTTCACAGAAGTTGTCAGAAGAATGCTGGAAGTTTTGGCAGTTGGGTAGGGGCTTTTGGCACCAGGAGTGGGGGAGGGAGAGTTTGGGAATGTATGGTAAGCACATTAGCTGGATATTTCTGCTAAAATGATCAGCAGTAACATAATTAAATGCTGACAGTTAAATTGTCATCTTTCATTAATAACCCAGTGAGAATGAAGAATTTCATGCCTCTCTTAGAACTTTTGTTTCAGACTCTCTGCAGACTCAGGAGGACAACACTATAGCAATTTACATTCTGTTTATGTTTTCAAGGTTGTCTGTACAAAGATCAGAAACAAAAAAACCCAAACCAAAAGCCTAGATTCTACATTTGGGGTGGAATACATGAAGGCCTGTCTATGACTCAGATCAAACACAAGTTCCTCTGAAATAAACCAGAAGAAGAGAGAGACAATATTCCTTATAGGATCAAGGTACTAGGTTTACAGTCACTGCCTCATGACCTAATGGCCTAAGTCTCCCCTAGCTGCCTTTGTACAATGTCTTACCAATATTATAGCAAACACAAACATGTAACTAGCCTTATCAGTATTGCTTTATAACTGATTGTGCACTGTAGTGACACTGCTAGCATTACAACTTCCCACAACACTTTTTTTAAATATTAGATGGCATAATCCAGCTTCATTTGGCTCTTTGGGAGAAGGAGGATGCAAGGGGTACTTACTAGCATCCCCCCGATTTGAATGTTCCATGCTGTAATACTGGGGTGAAACAGTAAAAAGCTGAACACAGGAGTCATGGAGCTAAAGTGAAATAGAATAGAATATACTGTACTTTCACTTGAGATCCTTATGAAATATTGATGTATCTTGTATGTGTATTTTCCCATAGATTTTAGCCAATAAATGTTGCTTTAAGCCATCACCCCTCAAAAGTTTTATGTATCCCAATAGTAGTAATGTCTTTAAGGTCAGAGAAGGCATGACTCATTTGTGATCAGTATGCATTGTTATTGCCCCATCTGGATGGGAGAATTCCATCTGTTGTGTCCTAATTTCCACAGTGGAGATGCCAGTGTCACTGATTGGCTGCTTGCCTTTCCCCACCCTGTCTGTGATTGGTGGATCCTCCCACTTCTGCCTTGATTTCTGTCTCTTTCCTTGCTCAGCTTCTTGCACTTCACAGCTGCAGCTGTTCTACACTGACCACAGAGGGACCAGGGGTTGCTCACTGATCAGGACTCAACCAATAAGGTACATTGCTGGGATTTTGGAGGGAAGATGTACTCTGATCAGATGCTATTTGTTCTCAAAGGCTTAAGAGCAGTGGTGGGCCACCTGTGGCCTACTACTGCTTTAGAGTGTATTTATGGCTAATGAACAGGATTTAGGACTAACAAGGGAAGGAGAAGGATGTTTGAAAAGAATGAGTCTGTGAAGAGGGTGTCTGTTGGGTTTAGGGGATGCAGGATTTACCCCTAAATTGCAAGCATGGAAGGGCTCATCCAGGCTATATTTCAAAGGGAAATGTTTAGATTTAATTAAAGTGACATTGTTCATTATATTTTAAGGCTTTGTTTTTAAACAATTTTAGTCTTCATTTAAGGGTTTGCCCAAGATTCTATGGGACAATGGGAATCAAGTCACCAAATTGTCTGTATCTGAACCCCCCAGATTTAGGACAGGGGAAGGGTCAATACTGAAATAATTAAATAGATCTACAAGAACTTATGTTGGTGTGAAGTTATGCTAAATTAAATGTGGCTGGAGGTTTTGAAGGCAAGGGATTAGAGACTACAGTGATGAGGGCCATGTAAGTATTTAGAAGAGAATGTATCCAGGATGGGGATAGCAAAGAAAAGAATTAGAACTTTGCCATTAGATATGCGCAATATAGATCACTGCAATCAGTGGGGGCTGACTACATGTATCTGAGGGCACAGTTAATATTTTGTATATTAAAAAATATAGAAGCATGAAAATAACATTTTTCCCTAAAAATTGTGCCTGTTTCCATTTGACAAATATTAATTTTTAGATTTGTATCAGAAGGATGTTTTCATGGAGAAAATTATAGCTTTATGCCAGCAAGAAATTATAATTACACTGGAATCTCTGTACTAAAACAAAATTTCCATGGGAGTTATTTTTTTCTATTGGGATCTTCTGCACTTATCTCTAGTCCAGACTCAAAATTTAATAAGGTGTTAAGATAGCCACCATTTTTGCTAATTTTTAACCTAGTTCCCCAAGATGCCATGTCACAGATATATCTCCTGGCCAGAATGAATGGACTTCCTTTTACAAGTTCTTTGCATTGCTTTTCATCTGAAGGATCAGAGGGCTGATGCAGACAGAAGTCCCTATCACTCATGGTTCAGCATGCTGCCTTTGGTCCTCTGTCTCCCTACCATCCAGAAATTGAGAACATAAGAAACTTAAGGCCAATTTTCTTGCATGACAGACCAGAGTACATCTAACTACAAAATAACTCCAGACAACAAATATTTTAGGGTGAATTTTCTAGTCTTAGCTAATTTAAATGCCAGGGATGCTATGCTTAAAAATAAAGCAACTAATTAGAAACCAAAACACTTCTACCTATGATATGAGTCAAACAGAAGAATCTCAACAAGACAAAGACTAGTGATTTAATAAGAACAGCTTATCGCAGCAGTTAATACAGTAGCACCACATGCTATACTTAAATTTTAATTAGAAGTGGGCTATGTCAAAATTTTCACAGGGAAGTTTGTAACCACACCCACCTGAACATAATATATGCCTATCTCATAGAACAGGAAGGAACCATGAAAGGTCATTGAGTCCAGCCCCCTGCCTTTACTAGCAGGACCAAGTACTGATTTTTTTTGCTCTAGATCCCTAAATGGCCCCCTCAAGGATTGAGCTCACAACCCTGGCTTTAGCAGACCAATGCTCAAACCACTGAGCTATCCCTCCCCCCTTAATATAATACTTACAAGATTGCCATTTAAATGGCATTTTCCATGAGCGTTTTGGGGGAGAGAATCTCTTCTTTAAAAGACATGGTTATTTGTTTAAACATTTTCCTGGTTGCTCACCACACTTACTCATTGTGGCATTTCACAAACGCTCATCGGCTGCTCCTCATGGGATGGATTATGATACAGACCTCACAACTGTCCATTTTGTTTTCTGCTCACGGTGCCTTGTTGGCAAGGCGTTCAATTTCAGTTCAAAGTTAACCCAGTATATTCTTGGTCCCTTGCATCAGCTTTTTATATTTTTCTTACATCTGATTCTGCCTTCCCCTTTTTACAAGGTAGTTTACTCTTTTTTCCACACATGTACAAAATCAAATATTTCTCTATTCTAAATGTCGATGCAGAAATATGGCTCAATGGAAAAAGGACAGGTATCCCTAGTAGACAGTGTAAGAAGTCCTTTAAGAAATCTTGAGCCAATTTCTCCTTTTTGATTTATTCTGTAGCCTAACATGTCACCACAAGTCAACCCACCCAGAAGCAGACATGAAAAATAGGGAGGGCTTTTACATTCTGAAATCCCAAATAGTATTTATCAGCACAATTATTACTGGGACAAAGTAGAATATTCACAAGGTTTAATGACCTTATCTAATTATGTGGTGGCATGGCTCAATATTAAGATTGCTTAGACAGCTGGTCAATAAAATCTAATTTTACAGGCTTTAGCAAAATTTTGGAAAATGTCCTCTCTGTTCTTCAAGAGATTGTACCATTTGTGCTACCACTGGAGTGAATTACAAGAATACTTCCTTCTCCCTCAACTTTTTATCTCATTGAAGTTCTCTGCAGCATGGATGTATTTTCACTCCTGCTTCCCATCATTATTTTTTGTGAAGTTGCACGTCTGAGTGACATTTAGTCTTAACTTATCTGAGATATACACAGTAACAAAAAATCAAGCTAAGAGTTTAACAGGGGATTTAACAATAAATTTCCTGGCAACCATTTGGCAGTGGAAGGGATGGGAAGAGCCCCCGCCAGTCATGATTTTTCTTAACAAGAAGCATGCTGAGGGACAGGGGCTTTTAAATTGACTATAGAGGGGCCTGAACCAAAACTCTGGAGCCACAGAGCTAGGGGTTTAGTAAATGCCTCTTTCTAGTTTTGAGAGGCCATCATGAAACCAAAGAATTGGAGCCTTCAATTGAAGGAAGCTCATTGTTTAAGAAAAATATTGGTTAGGATCATTTACTGCACCTAAAAGGTTTGTTCTATTTTCTGGTCTGGGGAACAGGAACAAGTATGACAGCTGTTGATAGGGGCTGGTCTACAGTGAAAAGTTACATCAGCATAGCTACAGCTCTCAGGTGTGTGAAAAATCCACACCCCTGGAGAAGTAATTAGGCCAGCCTAATCCCAGGTGTAGACAGCACTTAGGTTGACAAAAGAAGGGCTGGCCTGTGCTAGAAAATTAGATCACCCCAGCTACATTGCTCAGGGGTGTCAAAAATCCACACTCCTAAGTGACATGGTTAAGCTGACCTAAGACCCTGTGTAGAATTCTTCCATTGATTTAGCTACTGCCTCTCTGGGAGGTGGACAATTACAGCGACGGGAGAACGTCTCCTGTTGCTCTTGTAAGTGTCTATGCTGAAGCGCTACAGTGGCACAGCTGCACCACTGTTCCATTTTAAGTGTAGATATAGCCATGGCAACTTCTCTATGCTTTCTGTTTTTCCACAGATGGACAGATATCCTTTCTTCGTGTTTGTGTTGTGTGGGGTATTTTTGCCAAGAATCCTTTGTTTTCCACATGAAAACTCTACAATAGATTGTGATACTATGCTACCGCACCATGGAGGTGAACCACAAAAATCCACTCCACCATATGTTATTGCTGTATCTTTTGATAAATATGATCCAGGAAACGAAATCCAAGGTAAACTATTTAACTCATTTAAAAACTGTCTCCGTGTAAAGGTGCAGGCAGTCCTTGAGCGCCCTCTTGCAGCCTGGTGTGGCCCTACAGGTGTGCCCTTCCTTAATTTCCCTAAGTGGAGCAGCAGTAGATTTCAGTTCAACAGCACTGGGGCAAGGAGGAGCTGCCACAGATTAACAAAATGCCCTCGCATTTTAATCAGGTTTCAGGCCAGGAATCTTTACAACAAACAGTTCATCAGGCCCCAGGTTCAGGGCATCCAAATTTATAGTCCTCCACACCCAAGTCTCTGAATCAGGTTAAACTTGTCTCCAAGTGCCTGAGAGAGAAACCACCCGCCAGCTTGCTTGTTTGCTGACTCTCCTGTTCTGCTTCTAGTCCTGTTCCTGTTTATATGGCTCAGCCCTCAAGATGGGTAGGGCCTCCTTAATTATCCCCAGGCTGCAGGTTGTGGGCTCTTGCCAGTCAATTAAAGGGCTAGTACCCTTTTCCCCATACACTCTTTCACTCTCCTTCTCCTACTGAATTCAGGCTGCACCAAAATTCCACCTGGTTTCCTTCTGCAGCATCCCCAAACTATAGCCCTTTCTTTCATCCCCACTCATCTATACTCAGTTCATATCTTGCCTCTCCACGTGGGAAGATGTTTTTCCCTTGCCTATTGGGCAAATATGAATTCATCCCATTACACAATGTCTGTGATGAAACTAAAGTCAACTGGCAAAACTGAGCTATGCTATTATTTATTTGATTTCATTTCATTTGTTGAATACTGGTTGTGTGCTGAGCGCTGTACAGAAGAAAGGGGAACTACCCTCAACTTGCTGCACTACTGCAGGAGTGTAAAATTTGCCTACAAAACTCAACGTGTTAGAACTCCAAGGGTGGCTTTGTATGTTGTGCCTTTCAGAGGCTCAGCACAGAATTAGCAGCCTAGGCTTTACATCACCTTTGCACCTGCCCAGTCGTGGGCTGGGGCAGCACCTGGTGTAATTTACACATCCCTGTTTAGGTTACAGCAGCTTCCTGCTGCCATGTGAACAACAGCACTGCTCAGATTCTCACTATTACCAGCCTGAAGCATTCAACACGCATGAGTCAGACCCCGAAATTTCATGAGATTGGATGAAAAGTCATGAGATTTCTAAAAATAATACATTTTGGGTGCTTTTTATTTGCCTTCTGGTTTCTGAGTCTCTAGATCATGCTCACTTCATGTTTTCAAGCTTTTCTGAGCAACTGTGAGAGGGCTAGAAATTTTCACTTAGTTGTGGGTTTTTTTGTTTTTGTTTTTGTTTTTTCTTTCTGAGAGTTGGCAACACAATGTCCACAGTTCTGCATGCTACAGCCCCACCCCAACACATTCTTCCCGCCACCATTCCTGACCTCAGCATACCTTCTATGCTGAGGTTTGAAAGGGGATCCTCAGAAGGAGCACAATTCTGGCTCTTTCAAGGGGACAGAGCAGGGGTGAGAGTCTCTCTCTGAAGCCACAAGAAGCTGGGGGCCCAGCTTAACACATCTCAAGCCTGCTCCCCAGCGCTGATCTGTGGGCCCCTCTCAGCTTGGTGGCAAGGCTCCTAAAGCAACTTCATGACTATTGACTAACTCCAACAACAAGCCCCCACTAAGATGAGCAGGCGGTGTGAAGGGGAGTTAGTCAGGTCAGTTTCCACTTTGAAATCCAGGCAGCTCAAAATGGAGAACAGAGCACCTGCTGTCCTACTGTGCCCCTAGAATGCCTTTGGAATCCCAGGGACTCAGTCCCATGGAGTTGAGATGGAGGGGCTTTCATGGGGGACAGGATACCAGGGGCAACATGTAGAAGAAGGGGAACATGTGGCTCATTGTGACTGGAAACATCAGGCAGAATCCATGAAGCTCTAAAAAGAGGTTTTGTTAATAGCTCTTCCAAAGATGGCAGGGCTGTTAGACTACTCAAAAGTGCTTGTGAGTTTTAATATAATTCTCAACAACAAAATGATGGTGGATTTTAAAGGAACATTTAGGTGTGGGAGAACATTCTCATCACATTATAACATTAAGAGAGTAAAACAAGGAATGGGCCTTAGCAGCTACTAAGATCTTCCTTTCCTGTCTCTCTGGCCTTGCCCTTTGTTAAATCCTGCCACTGGCTCCCTATTTTCCATTACTTCAGGTTTTAAGGTTCCTACACTTGCCTTCAAGACCCTGCATAATTCTGCCTCTCTCTGCTCTTATCTCTTTTTACATTGTCCCCAGCTCCACCAACAACATACTCTTTATCTGCTTCTTTTACATCCACTTCTGTGCCTTAGTCCATACTGCCCCCCCAGTGTATGGAATGCCTTCACCTGAACTGGCCTCTAGGCCACTATTCTTTCCTCCTTCAAATCCCTCTTCTACCATGACACCTACAAGAAAGTAGTTGACTAATTATGGGCAGGTTGAGGATTAATTGGAGATATAGTAGACTATGTTTTTTAATGTTTGCCCAAGTACAGTATTATCAATCACTACCTTAACCTGGACTTGTATGTTGTCCCCTGGGTCCTCTATCATTCCTCTGGCTATCTTTGTTTTTAAGACAAGTTCTTTGGGAAAGGGACCAGGCTTTCTATTATATTTGGGAAAACACCTAGTACTTTGTTGGCATTACCCAAATACATTTATTATAATAAAAACTTGTCTGTGTCCCTTTAAAGTATGGTTTCACGTTGCAAAGTGACTCTTCAAAAATGACATTGTGCAGTTCTGTTTACTGTCTCTCGATTCTTTCAATAAGAGTTAATGAGTAAATCAGTGTGTTTCCTAACTTGCAACTCTGCATACTCAGCAGCCTGGTATCTGAGAGCTAAGTTGGGTTTTTTCACTGAAAATAAGATTCTGCAGTTGGAACTTAGCTAACAAAACACTGGCCCCCTACTTCTGGAACTCAGACAGAAGAGAAACCATCTCTCTCTCTCTCTCTCAATACCTCCTAGCCCCCTACACTGCAGGCCTAACAATTAAAAGTAGAAAATCTTTGTCACTAAAGCCAGTATGTAGGACTCTGAATACACACAAGGAGCAGGTTGGATGAATAAGAAGATTTTGATTTTACAGTTCACTGTGTAGAGCATCTGTATTGCATTTTAAAGTTGTTCAAAGTTGTTTGTAAATTATATGGAGTGTTAAGTTACTTCACAAATGTATTTAGTAATATGTCACACAGATGCCTATGCTACCTTTGTTTCTTTTCCTCCTTGTCAGTGTCAGTATTGCTAATAAAAACTGCAGTTAGCCATAACATTTAAATATATATATGGAGCATAAGGCATTTCTGTAGATGCAGGATGCTTTGATGCATGGGAAATGTGATGTTAAGTATTATTTAAGACAGCTCCACAGCATGTGAAACTTACATTTCTTTAAATGACTGTTTTCTCAGTGACTCTAGAGGGAACTGCAGAGCGTGGTTTTCAAGGATTTCATCTACAGGCTCGAGAACTTGAAGGAGATACTCCTGTTGGTTCCTTTAAAATTACAGATCCAAGCACGCAAGCCCTTGCATGTCATAATGTTTCGGTATGTGCTCACTCGTTCAGATTAGTTACTTAGCTTGGTTAACTTTTACATACTTGTATTGATACTGATCAAAAGAAACATACATTTTTCATTTTGCAATACATGTAAAATTATATCAGAACTCCAGGGTTCTGGCTCACAGAAAGAAAAGGACTCTTGTTCAGACAAATCATTAGAACTGTTCACCTGTTTATGGCCTATGATTTCCAAGCCTGTTTGCTATATGATATGTCGGACTTCATAGTGACTAGAATTCAATGTCTAGAAGACACATTTGGATGCAGATCAGTACCCTTGGATTTGTATGCACAATATTGCAGAGGATCAACTGCAAAATCAGAGTAAAATGTTTGTGGTGCATGGCCCAATTCTTAGTACTGAACTAATGTTCCAGCATGGCGCTAGGGGGCTCTGCTGTGCTGCTAGATGTGCTGTCTTTTGGATGAAGTATAGATCAAAAGTCCTGACCTCTTGTCGTGGTGAAAGATCATTTGTCATGGCTTTGTATTATTTTTGTTTAAAAAAAAAGCAGTCATGATAAACTTAGTAAAAAAACATGGGCTTAAGGGGAAATGGTGTGTAAAAATCATGGGTATGGACAGAGAAGGGGGATGGATTCTGTGCACAACCCTGTGCACCAGGTCACCACGCCACTTACTCAAGTTTGGTCCAGCCACCCTCCATCATGACAGAGGGGCATCTGGGCCAAATCTGAGTGGAGCTGTGACCCCGTGTACCAGGTCAGAAATCCTGGAGTGGGAAGCTAGGCCCAATCCTGCGGGACGGGAGCTGCTGCTGTGGGGTGAGTGCCAGTAGGGTTCACTCTCCAAACCCTCTTCTTCTCCCCACACCCTGGAGTCTCCCCTCTGTATGGGTGCTTTATTAAAATCATGGACAGAAAGAAAAGTCATGGACAGAGAAATCACTCTATCTTTTCAACCACCGTGACAAATCTGCAGCCCTACCCATTGTGTTGTAGCCAAATTCCCTTACTAATATATGCAAACACATATAGATAAAAAATGCTTTCGCATTTCATATTTATTTTTTTTATTACAGAATTCAGCAGTAAGCCACACAAATTCAGAGGTGAAGCACAAAGTTACAACAACTTGGATTGCACCTTCGGACACCAAGAGTATTCAATTTAGGTATATATTTGATTTTTTTGCTTTGATATTTTATTTTCATGGGACAGTTCAATATGGTTTCCTTGGGTGTACACTTTCATTCTGGCATAACCAGTCTATGCTCTCCATATATTTTCCCTGGTATTGTTTTGTTTCATTGTTTGCATTATCTTCACATTGTATTAGTATAATAAAACCACTACCATTTTTATGTAAACTTTGTTAAAAGTAACTACTGTATATGTTTCCCAGTCCTACAAACCTCTACTCACACAAATAGTTCCAAGAAGGTTCATAGCATTACTAGTGGACCCTGGCTCAGAAAGCAATTTTTACCCTTTAGGTCCCCATTCCTTATGCACATGAGAAGCCATATGCATGTGAATAGTCCCATACATGAGAGAGGCCTTTTATTGATTTCAATTGGCTTTGCCTCAGGCCCTAATACAACACTGATAAAAATATTTGCTTTTTTAATAAAATAATTTCTTTCATATTGAGTATGGGAAAAAATAATGATTAGAAGTGGGAATCCTTGAAGATTAATTTTTAAACATCACTTTATTTGTTTGTTTGTTTATCTAATTCTGGCATTTTCATAACCTGTTCTCAGCAAATATTTTTTTCATGCTCTTTTGTGGAAATGGCACAAGACACACATTCATTGAGTGAAGAGAGCTGCTAAAGCCAAATGTATGCCATGTTTTATGTAACTTTAATTAGCCTGGCATATTACAAAGTTTTGATTAACAACAAAAATAACATCTGGGGCTAACAATATGTTTGCCAAGTGTTAGTCAAAATCCATTTGAAACAGCTGAGATATTCAACTTCTGAAATCTGAAGTTTACAGTAGAAAGGCCAAATCAGTAACTCCCTTAAGTCCTTACAAGTACAAAGAGGAGCAAAAAGACACAGAAATTGAGTAACTCTTCCACAGTATGATCATCTCCTCTCTCTGGTCCAATCAAAGCCATGCTTCAGCCATAGGTCGAGACTGTATGAAAGTGAGAAGGTCTGCCAAGGCCTCTCCAACACTGGTGAATATTTGAGCAGATATCCACACAGGAGTCTAAGCTTCTCCAAGCAGCTTTCATTCCTCTTCCGTGCCTTCTAACCTTCTATTTTGTTGATCCTTGGCATGATGTTGGACATTAATATAGGAATTAGAAAATAAAAAAGTTTCTAAGATTTAATTACATACTCTTGAAACTTTTTTTTCTTACACCTTTTCTTGAAGGCTGAAACATGAATTCATACTGAAAATCATACATTTTCAAATAACTCTAACAAGCGTGAGTTTTCTTAGCTGAAAGAAATCTTGTGATTCTATTTCATAATATACTGAAATATAATTTGCTAGAGAAAGTAAATTATACTGATCTTATTTTCCCTCTAGAGCAACATTTGTTCAAGATTCAAAGAACTTCTGGGTTGGAGTTCTCAGCAAAACTGTCACTCCTAGACCTTCTCAGTCAGCCAATGTCACAGAAAGAAGGAATAAGAAGAAGGTATGTTTTGAGTTTATTTTTGTCTGAGTAGTATAAATAAATGTGGAAGACAAAATATACTTCCATGACAATGGGCCCCATCTGAGGGGTTTCAAATTGGACATCTATAAACTGAGTCAGACAAAATCGGTGGCTGCTTTGGAAAATTTGACCCTACCTACTTACTGTAACTCAAGTATTGTGAGGATTAACCATTATTATCCCATCTGACAGTAAGGAAACTGAGTCATTCTAGCCAATGAATACCATACAAGGAACAGAAGAAGGGTTAAATTACAGAGCCAGGTGATCCAAGAGGCATAAGCCACATCATAAGCCCTGTCCTCCATGGCTACCCCGGGCCATAAGGATTGGGTGACTACACTGGATGTTCTTAGAAATGAAAGTTTAAGTATTCAGTTAATTTTCATTTTCAAAGAACTCCTCATACTAAACTTTCCCATAGTGTAGGGAGGTGAGGTGAAGGAAGAATAAACCAGGGACCAGATCTTTCGCTGATGTAAATCACCATTGTTCCATTGAGTTCAATGAAGCAATGCTGGTTTGCACCAGCTGCTGATCTAACCAAGAATGAACATCTTTCTCTGGCCCTTTATCTCACCAAGTAAATGGGAGTTTCTTTCCCAGGAAAAAGATAATATTCAAACAAGCTCTTTTACAAAGTAATAACTGGCTTCTGTTTTCTTTATAGGCTTCACGGATTGTGATTGAGATGGAATGTACCAAGGTAAGAACTATTTCTCTACATTTTTCCAGTGTCTTTTTTATTTTTTAATTGCATTGTGTTATTATTTGTTTTGTGGGAGCATTTAAAAAGAATATCATCATGTGCATAAATATTTTTCTCCTGAATGTTTGGTGTGGCTCTCACAGAAAATCTTAATAAGACAGATTGACTTTTGAAGGACTAGCATTAACTTGAGGCTTTGATTATCTCAACTTTAGAATTCCCATTCTTCATACTCCTCATCCAGTAAGTTCTGGTCCGTTCATTCTATTGACACTATAGTAGGACATGGACAATGCTATTCAAACACTTTCACAAAAAGTTGACACTGCCTGTGGTTTCTACTCAAATCTGAGTGCATCAGTATTTAGTTTGTTTTCGGGGAGATACCTATCATTTCTCATATCAGACCATTACATAGAGTAGGGTGATCGAATGGAAACAAATTCCTCTGGTTCTTCACTCAAACCAAGCAGGAAAAAGTGTTTATTTTCCTGAAACAATATGGTATTTATACAAGCTCTTTAAGAAGAAGTAACTGGATTCTGCTTTTCTTACAGAAAGGAGGAACTTACTCAAGTAGTGGTGGATGTATTCAGGTAAACATTCCTTCTCCAGACAGCACTGATTCACTACTTGCCGTCCACAAATGACAAGAATTGCTTACTTAGAATTTCTCTCTCTTAAATTTGAACTGGTTACAGCAAGGAGAAATGATTACTCCCCATTCATCAGAATTTCTAAGAATGTTTCTACTTGTGATATGCAAAGCTATCACAGAAACTGACCTATATCATGTAGTATCTCTAATTCAATTTCTTCTTTCCATTTGACAATTTGCCTTTGGGTGAATAAAATCTGCCAAAACTTCTAGATATCTATTTGTCATTCCTGCTATATCCTCCAGATGTTTCTCTCTAAGGTCAAATAAGCTGACAGCAGAAAGTCTTTAACTTATTTCCTTTATCTTCACTTTCCAGCCATAATGATTCCTTCAGGTTTTGTAGTTCCACCAATATCACTTACTTTCTCACATATTCTGAAATCTTCCTTTCAGTATACAATAATTTCTGTATGAAACTGAATAAAATATGAGTTTTGTTTAAGAAACAAAAAGGTGACAGCTCAGTGAAGATGTCTTTTGTTTTGCCTTTCTTGCTCCCAGCAACTATGCTATACATTTCATACACTCCAATGGTTGTGTAGTCAGATTACTAAATAGCTGCATACAATCATTTTTCATCTGAACATTACTTAGTTTGGAACACCTAAAAGAATTTACCAGCTCAGGCTCACTCCTAGTGCTGGGCATTAAATACGAGTCTGAAACTTCATATTTAGTAAGTAAATGGAATAATGCCAATATAAACCCACTGAATATCTGGCCCAATATGTATATTTAGGTTTGTTTGTGTGGAGAGGGGAATAGGTTTAAGTTCTCTGTAGTAAAGTTTTTAATGGTGTAGTTTGGTGGAATGAAATGACCAAAAAATGTCCCCTGTGGTATTTCATTCCACAAGGTAGTTCTTTTTTTCCCCTGAAGCAGCAGTTTATATAGAACTAGTCCTTTGCAAAATTAATAATTGATTTCTGATTTGTTTACAGGGTGGATCCTCTGGTTCCTCTCAGACCAGCTATTCTATTGGTCAGGTAAGTACCCTAGTTCCTCTCTATTTATTTATAATTTTTCCCCAGTGTAGATTTTAGTATACTTGAGTATCCAAAATTATAGAGATAGAGACTGACTGATGTTATTCAACTTTGTGGTAAAATATGTCTCTGTCAGTAAGCTCAGGGATTCCAAACAGTTACTGATCCACAAATGCATGGTAATAGTCAATAATCATACAGGATCTAAGTCCTTGCAGGTTAACTTGTTGTTGCACTCAGAACTCACCATCCACATCCTCACAACAAACATGGCCACCTCTACTTTATTAACCAAGCATTAAGCTGATACTGTCAACAAAACAATAAATAAATCCTTGTTTCCTTATTTGTGGTGTTAATGCTATCTGGAATTATTTAAAAAATGAAATTATTCCACGTAGCTAACTTGTTGTTTCACCCCTTTAATAGTCACCTATTTTTTTCATTCCACTTGGACAATAAAAATAGAATGTGCAGTTACTCTTTTGTTTCTAGCCATTTTCATTTTTTCCTTTTAGTCCATTCACAAAATGTTACAAAACTTTCTGACCTAACGTCCTTGACATTCACTTTAATTCAATAATATTTGCAACACCATGTCTAGTGCACAGCATATGACCCCTTCAATGTGGGACTACTTTTGTAATTGATTTCATTGTCTATTCCTATTGGCCTTTTTAAATTCCAAGTTATATATGTGTTGTTATGGAACAATTTACATCTTTTTAATCCAAGTTGTTTTGGGCACAATTATATTTGCACTTAATTTTCTTCCTAATAGATATGGGCCTTTTTAAACCCACAGGGTCAAATTCATTCTTATTTTATCTCTGTTGGCTTGAACTGAGTTACGCTGTAGATGTACTTTGTGTATTTATTAGTGCATTATATGGGAACAGTTTCCACTCCACATACCCCATCCCCAAACCTTGTTGATTCCAGTTATGTCCAGCTATTGTGACACTCTCTGAATAGGTATTTCTTAAGCAATACTGTTACACAGCAAATACTGATTTCCTTGATCTTCAGTTTCGAGCAATAATTCTGTTTTCTCTCTCTTTTCACCATGTGTATGGACTGGGGTTTGGATTGGCATGCCTTGTGTATGGATCTTTTTCCTGGATTTTGCTTACACTTAGGAAATCTTACTAACTCAGACTGACTCCTGAAGGAGACGTATTAAACTGCTACAGCCCTAGGCAGGTCACTTTCATTAGAATTTCTCTCCTCCATACCCAAAGCTCACTGAAATCAATGAGTGTCTTTCCATTGACCTCATTCGGATTTGGATTAGGCTCCATATGACTAGTTCAGGTCAAATAGCCCCTCAGCATATGTGCTATTTTTTCAGTTCTGATGACTCTTCAGCAGAATCCTTCTGCTACCACTATATCAAGCCTTTCTAGTGTAAAGCAATAGATAAAGGCAGACAAGTTGGAATGTGAAACTTCTGTTACCCTTCACCTTACCACACAGGAAATTACAGGAAGGTTATCTTTCTAAAAAGCTACTGTATTCTAACAAGTCCTTCTACAAATAAATGGCTGATTTATGGTTTCTTTACAGAGAGTGCAAGGTTCCTCATTGGCTGGCAGTAGCTATATGAGCTGTTTCTCCAAAGTATTAGAGTTCGTTTGTTTATTTATATAGTTGATCAGCATTTAGCTCAGTAAGCGCCTGATACAAAGTGAATTGAAATCAATTGAAATACTCCCATTGATGTCAATGGGCTTTGGTTCAGGACCACACTGCAGTGATAGTTATCAGTTTCATTGGGTTCCTTACTTTTTGTTGTTGAGGCTCTTGCTGAAAGGTCACATTATTACAGACCGAAAGCAAGAGAATCACAGTACCTCTTTTTCCTCTTGTCATCCCAGTAAATTGTTTTCTTCTATTTGTTGCATTTCAGACCTCTTTGCAGTTTGCAAAGTCACCTCACTAAATTGCATGTACAACAATTGGTTTTTCTCCTCACTTGCACTTCTTGGAAATTTTACTTACCTCAGTCTTGACTCCTGAAGGCTGAGTATGGAATTTTTGTGGGCTTACATACCTCACCCTCCATTTAAAATTTTCCTTCCCCTCCTTCATGCTCCCTCATGTGATTAGCTCAGCTCACTGCATTTATTCCAAACCATGGACTATTTTCCATTTTCAGCACCTTTCAGACAAACAGAACTTTTTCTCCAGTAAAATGATACCTTCTATAGTGTGGGCTTGATATCTCACTATATGTAGTTAATTTACTTTTATTTTCAAAGAAATCTTTCCTTTACATCCCAATTTTATTTTTATGAATGTGTTCATTACAGTGGATCCAGAGGGCCAACCAAGAGTAGGTCCCCATTGTGCTAGGCACTGTACAAACAGAAGTAGAAGATCCTTACTCCAAAGAGCTTACAGTCTAAAGAGACAAGACAGACACAGGATGGAGGAAGGGGTAGAGCACACAAGCAGAGTAATGTGATGGCAACAATTATTACGTTCCATGATTTTTTGTGGGGTGGTATTTAAGATGGGATCAACTACTTGGAAGGAAAAGGGAGGGAAAGGGGCAAGGGGGAGAGGACATGAGAGGAGAGGGTAAGAGAAGCAGGTGTGGAGTGAAGTTGAGGTGAAGAGACTATGAAGGAGGAGAGGGAAGGAAGGTTGGATGAACAGTCAGTCAATGCAAGGCAGAGAATATCCAGTCAAAACTGTAGAAAGTTCTTTGAATGTCTGAAGGATCAGAGGTCCCTGCTTCTGCCTATATTGGCTGGCAGCTCTGGCTGCTTAGTGTCTCCAGTTTTCTCCCAAGCCCCATGACAAGCGGGAGGGGAGGCACCGCGTGGATCCTAGAGCCCCCAGAGTCAGTATGGGGGGGGGTGTCTCACCTTAACAGTGCTATATGCAGGAGGGTGCTGTGGGGAGGGGTGGTCCCAGCTAGGTCCATTTGACTGCCTCCCTGCCAGTGCTGCTTTTGGCTGCTTCTGCCCCTATCAGCTAGAATCTCAAATTGAAGGAGGGAAATTCTTCTGAGGTGAAGGGTAGGAGAATGGATGGAGACATCATGGAACGTGGAACCTGCTCTTGTCCTTCACCTCACCAGGGAGGTAGCCAGAGGGAGTTCTCTGTTCTTAAAACAGTAGCTTAGTTTAGCAAGCCATGTTGCAAGGAAATGTATTATTTCCAATTTCTTTATAATTTATCCACGTTTCACAGGAGAGCAACAGCTATTCCCAAGTCAGCCTCTTTCTCTAGTTTGTAGAGGGTATCCCCATGATGCAACTTTTAGTAACTTCCCAGGAGGAGAGTTAGTTCCCTACTTCTGTTGTGAGGGGTTTGATGAAGGGCTACATGCCTAAGGATAAAATGGTATGAAAAGTAAGAGGATGGCTGAGCTTATCCTACTGAAATGGAATTGTTCCAGGCAATCACAGCATATGTGTGTGCCACAGTTACTGACTCAAACGGTATAATAACGTCCACCTGTATATATCTCCAGTCTCCACATATGGCTGAATGGCAATGCAGACTTTTGGTGCTGTAAATTGCAGCTTTCTTTTCCCGTGTTTCATAAAGCATAGAAATAAGTGGCATCTTCTTTCTTTCAGGTTGGAGTCATTCCTCCAGGAAGCAGCCAGCGTGGATGTGTCTCAGTAAGCACTTTTCTCATCTTCACTGAATTTTGTCCCAGTGTGACTATTTTAACTACAATGCTTAGCTATCAGTTACATTCGTGTTAATGTAGGAGCTTTTGTTTTATAGCAAAAGTAATGTAGAAAAACTAAGAGATGATTTTGACAATGTACTATTCAAGTAGAATAGACTCAGCTAGACTCCGCTAATCAGAAAGCAAGGATGCTGCCCAGTTCATAGACTCATAACATAACTATGCCTGTCTGTGTATTCTAATTTGCTGCTGACCTCAGAATTCAGCAGCTGTAACTCCACAATAAATCTCGCTACTTCCATTTTATATTCCTTCCTGTATTAAAGGAACAGTGTCAGGTTAAAAATCTTAGACAAGTAAATCCAATTATCTGGTAAAGCGCTAAGCACACTCAGTTTCTACTGAAGTCTGTGGGTTGAGAACAGTCAGCACCTCACAGGACTGAGTGGTTGGAGAACATCTGAAATGTTCATATCATGAGAGGCTGGAATAAATAAATAAAACTCACTTCTGTATGAATTTTGAATTCAGCAGAAAGAAACTAAAATTTAGTAATCAATGTTTACCTTTATTTTGGAAAAAAACATCCTTGCTTCTGTTACTAATAACACATAAGATTGTTATTATTAAAAGAACTTTTAAAATGTACACTACTTTTCACCATTTATGCTGGTTCTTGACATTTTACATTTCATTCACTTTGAACAATGAAAATAGAAGGCTCCATTTAACTTGTATTTCTATTCAGTTTAAGCTTTCTGTTTTACATGCACCAGCAAAATACTACAATGTTGGGCTGTAATGGGGTCTACAAACCCCATACTGAGCATAAACAGAAGGGAGAGGAGAGTCTCTCCTGTTTACAAGCGAGCAGTCAGAGAGGCAGGCACACACAGCCACAAAGGAAACAAGGCCTGCTATAAAGGGGAGAGTAAAGAGGAGGCAGAAAGGCCTGGGACAGCAAAGAGGCAACCTGCGCCAGGCTACCTCCACGAACACAGCCAAGAGACTATGTCCAAGAACTGCCCTGACTGAGAGCAAACTAAGGAGGGCCAGTCAGGAGAAGCAGAAGTCCCTCAAAAGACCATACCAGGAGACAGTGGCGGGCTGCAAACACAATGTGGGCGCTTTTTAAAAGCAAATTTAAATTATTTTTCTATTAAATAATCTATTTACAAAATCTGTCAAACATTTCTGTTAATACCAGCATATATTAATTTATTTAGAGCAGAATGTGCCTAGCTCTTTTGTGGAGGTACAGTGCAGAACTGGGGGGAGGCATCAGGATCTTTTCCATCTCCCAGACTTGAGGACCAGCCAGAGTTGAGGTTCTGTGTACTTGTGCTTACTCTCCTCTAGTAATTATAACAGTAACAAAATAAGTGCTTTCTGTTTCCTCTACAGGGCACTGGTGGCATATACAGCAAATATGGTTGTAAAGATGTAAGTATTTGTTTGCCTCTGTATTTGATATTTTCTCCCAAAATGCAACTCAATAACTCAACAGTTTGTTGCAAATTGTATTAGTTCCATTACAGTCATTGTGTTGCAGAGTTGGATTACTCTGGATAAAGATGAGGCAGGAGCTAGAGGATGTCTGAAGTTAGTTAGCATTATACTGGAACAAAATTGTCTCAGCTAACCAAGCACAAAGATGTTGTAGGGTTACTGACCCAAAAGTATATGCTAATTGTCAATAACCATTCCACTAATTTGTTAGTGGTCTGATATGTCAACATCCATATCTCTAAAACAAGAAAGGCAACCATAACTGTTAGTTTCTATCCCCAGTTCCATATTCTGCATAACTATTCCCTACCTTCATCTGAGATGATGCTCTTTGTATTATTCTTAGTCAATTACTGCCTGCTTTTAGGATTCCTCTTTTAAATATTGTCATCCACCCCATATTGTGTAGTATATCACACTCTCTGATCAATTTAGTCTTTCTTTTCTTGGTGGAGTTCCCTTTGCATGGCTGAAAAACATGTCCCATAATATCAGTTGATTCTTTTAGCAACACTTTTTTTTATATATTAATCTAGAGAATTTATGTACTATCAACTTCCCTTCTTTCTTATAATTATATTGAAATGACATTATTTTCTATTTCTATTTTGAATACCATAGAAACAAGCAAAATATTTTCACCAGAAAGGTGGCATTTTCTCTGATTTCTACTGAGAACTAAGGCCCTGATCTAGCAAAGCACTGTTTACAATGGGACTACTGCCATGCTGTGCTTAAAGTTAGGCTTATATTTACATGCTGTGCTGGATCATGACCTAAACATATGAGTGTCAACTTTAATTTCAAAAGAATACCATCCATTAAACTTACATATGATGTAATGTAGTTGAATGTTGGAAGAGTCTGATCTCTGGATTTACACCAAGGTTACTGAGTAATTTAACTGAAGTCAGAGGAGTTACTCTGAATTTATTCGGATGTAACTGAAATCAGAATTTAGCTTAATATTTGTACCTTCCCCTAGTCCTCCACGCCACCCAACAAAGAATTCCATATAGCAGTGGTTCCCAAACTTGTTCCGCCGCTTGTGCAGGGAAAGTCCCTGGCGGGCCGGGCCAGTTTGTGTACCTGCCGCGTCCGCAGGTTTGGCTGATCGTGGCTCCCAGTGGCCGCGGTTTGCTGCTCCAGGCCAATGGAGGCTGCTGAAAGCGGCGTGGGCCGAGGGGTGTACCGGCCGCCACTTCCAGCAGCACCCATTGGCCTGGAGCAGCAAACCGCGGCCACTGGGAGCCGCGATCGGCCGAACCTGCAGACGTGGCAGGTACACAAACCAGCCCGGCCCGCTAGGGGCTTTCCCTGCACAAGTGGCAGAACAAGTTTGGGAACCACTGCCGTATAGGTTTCATTTCCAAAAATGGTATTTTATTGAAACACGCCATCTTAGAAAGAAATAACTATCTGTGATTTGTTTACAGACTGCTGTCTCAATTAACACCGGCATGTCCTATGGCCAGGTAGGAACACATTCTCTACTGTATTTAGAGTTTAAACTTGCTATGCAACTCAGTAATTAAACAGGTAGGCCCAAATGTTGCCCTACTGTGGGGAAATCCATGGGAGGACCTCAGAGAGGGATGTCCTGAAATTATTAGGTAATATTACTAGCCAAAATGATTTCAGCAGATGAATGCTGTATTTATGAGGCATTACATGGCTCCACCTTGTTAGTTTCCTTCTTCCTGGTTAAACTGACCCTGGGTTAGTCATTTTTTCTGCAAGTGGACAGCAGATATTTTCTATTTTGATTACTATTGGAAACAAACAAAATATTTTCACCAGAACGGTTTTATCTGGTGGATACTCAGAACAAAAAGCAAAGCTCACACATAGGAGTTTCCTCTGATTCTGCTGTGTGGGTCAGTGTGGTGGGAGGTTCCTGGAAATTGTTTTAAACTTCATAAAAGCATTTCTGTTCATATGGAGAATTCCATTACTTCCAGCTGGCTCTGTTCCTACAGTCTTCTATGTTCTCCTGATGTTTCTACCTCTGATCAAGGGAATCAAGGTCTAACTTTCTACTATCAACATATGACTTATCTTCCATTTCAAATAATCATTTCACTCTACCTAACATTTCACCTAGATTTGTTACTTCAACTATTTGAAACTTTCTTTTCAACATAAATTTGTTGTGTATGAAACTGGCAGAAATAACTGGGTATTGTGCTAGAAACAATGGCGACAATTGGGTTACAATAACTCTTTTCCCTCTTGTGCTCCCATTAATCTGTTCCCTGTGTTATTCATTAATTGCCTCACATAAGAATACTTTTCTTTCAAATGTTTCATGGTTTGGCAATCCAAGAAGATCTTAGAGCTATTACTGTCTCCTGTCTGATAGAAAAGAGTTTGCCAAATTTAATTCTGTACCTAAGTAAATAATTCGTTTCTGTATTCTTCACAGTCTGTCTCCACAGGCAGTGGTGTTAAAAAGGTAAGCACTACTTCTCTGTTGAATTTAAAGGGCCAGATTCTCTGCAGGTATAAATCGGTATAGCACCTTTAACTTGAATGAAGCTATACTAGTTTACAACAGCTGAGATGCTGGCCTAAAGCTGTTTCCCATATTATCTCTCAGTAACTGAATACTTGGTTTACTAGCTGTCAAATGCATTAAGTTCATTAGTTATATTATGGCAACTTTTCTTGACAGATTGACTGACTGTACTGTGGATAAAGTAGTATAGTTACAAAGCTGTCTATGCATTTATTTTTTTATTTTTTTTTTAGACATCCTAGGATGGAAGGCACTATAGTTATTGTTACAAAGGGAACTTTAGGATGAGATTGATCTAAACTCATCCCTGGTGTAAAGCCAGTGGAATTGGCACCAGGGATTAATTTGGCCCATAATATTGAAACCGAATAGTCTCAGACAAACAATTGGAGTACAAGGATGTTGTACAGGGAC